AAATGTGTTTAAAAAATCGTTAAAATGAACACAAATCATACACAAATAATTTAGTTGCGTCATAAAGGGAATTAAAAAAAATATGCTAAAAATGTCGACTCTATTCAAAGGATTGTAAAGATACTAAATAATGTTTTATGGAAATCTCTTTACAGCTTTAACTCACAAACTGCTGGCGCAGAAGAAAAATATTGACAAAGTTTATTTTTTGCTTTATTTTATGCTGGCACATGTACGTTTTGGTCCAAAATAAACGAAATATTTCACTTTTGTTTTGTCAGACAATTTCACGACTCTCCTCTATGTGTATTAGCTAATGTTAGCATGTTTTATATGCGCGGATTAGGGCTAAAGTAAATAAAATTATCATAAATTAGCTTAAAAAGTCAAGTTTATATGATCATACTAAATTAAGTTAATAGAAATACGTATTTTCAATAAAGTTAGCTAGGTTTAGTAAGGCTGAAGGCCGTCCACGATCAAGCTGGGTATCACGATGGTGGGACGATGTCCTGCATCGGGTGATGGGGAAGGCAAGCCTAGTGAGAAACCACGGAGGGAAGCGACCGAAGCGCACTATTCAAACCGACATCTTCGGGCTGCCCACAGCTCATACTAATAGCCAGTTAGTCGGAGTACGATGCGCTGAGGCCGGTCTGGCTAATGGGAGCACCACTCCTGAGCCGGTGATCCGTGTTATTTGAGTAAGGCTATAATTTGAAATTGTAAAAATTAAATTTAGTTTAAATATATGTTACAGAAAGTGCATTGACTATTATCCAAAAATTTAAGTTTAATCAGATCTAGTACAGTATTAGTCTTATAGTATTTTGAGCCCTCTAAGAATAGAAATAGAAATAACAGCATCGAAGAGTAATAGTAAAGAGCTTACTTATTTTGTTTCTCCTTAATTTTCTTAATATGTTACTTAGTATACTCCTAGTCTTAAATAATGGGGATTATTTATGAATTAGTAGAGCCAAAAGTGTCATTAGTCATAGATGGAATTAACTTACTAATTAAATTAATATAATTATCGAACATTTTAGGGGAGTAGTGGGTGAAAATACAAAATGAGCGAAAAGGCACAGCAAGTATTTGAAGAACATACTTTTTATTCCTTCAAGAAAATAATGGTTTTTGGTAGTATACCCTGCTTGGAGTTTACTTCCTGTTTTAACTATCTTTATCGGAACTGAGTTCAGAACCTCATGTTCTTGTTTTCATTGACAAAGTGGGGAATTTAATCAACGGAATCCTATAATTAGGCCCTATCAAAAGACAAACGAAGGAATGTATTTCAGCAGATTCCGTGAAAATTATTGAAGAGAGAAAAAGAAAGAAAGCAACATTAAACAACAGCCGCACACGGGCCGCTAAATTAAAAGCACTGGAAGAATACACCGAAACAAAAAAAAATGTTAAGAAACGCATAAGGAAAGAGAAACGGAGTTATTTGGAACTGCTGGCAAGAGAAGCAGAAGAAGCACATGGTAATATTAGGGACGTGTACAATACAATTAAGAAGATATCTGGTAAGTACAGTAAGCCAGAGAGGCCAGTGAAGACCAAAGATGAAAAGACAATACCTGATGCGGAAGGATAGATGAAGAGATGGGCAGAACATTTTGAAGAACTACTGAATAGACCAACACCAGAGTGCACGCAAGACATACCACCAACTGCAACCCACCTTCAAAAGATGAGATACATAAAGCTATAAAGAAGCTGAAAAATTGGAAGGCTCCTGAATAGATGGTATACCGGCATAAGAACTGACAGCAGTTATAGAAACTAGCACCACACTACTATACACAATCTTCAAGAAAAATTGGGAAAATGAACAAATACCAGAGGAGTGGAAGGAGGGACTACTCATAAAACTTCAAAAGAAAGGCGATCTTAGTGCATGCTATAACTATAGAGGGATAACACTTTTATCCATTCCGGGCAAAATCTTCAACAGAATATTATTAAACAGAATGAAGGAAGTGATAGATCCCCAGCTTCGAGATCAAGAGGCGCGCTTTATGAAGGACAGTTCATGCGTAGACCAAATTGCTACCCTGAGCATCATCATTGAACAGACCAAAGAGTGGAACTCATCTCTTTATATTAATTTTATTGAATATGAAAAGGCTTTTGATAGCCTGGATAGGCAGTCAATGTTGAAATTGTTGAGACACTACGGGGTGCCACAGAAAATACTCAACATTATTATGTCTTCATAAGAAGGTCTGAAATGTAGAGTAGTGCATGGTCAACAGACTACAGAGGCCTTCCCAGTACGGAACAGAGTAAGGCAGGGTTGCCTCCTTTCACCATTCCTGTTCCTGCTGGCCATAGACTGGGTTATGAAGATGTCAACAGAGAAAACGCGAACCGGTATACAGTGGACACTGTGGATCCAGCTGGATGACCTTGACTTTGCTGACGACCTGGCCCTTCTTTCTCACACACAACAGCAAATGCAGGATGCATCCAACAGGGTTGCTAATGTTTCTACATGCCTGGGCCTGAACATCCACAGAAGGAAAAGTAACGTTCTCAAAGTCAATGCATCAAAAAGCAACCCTATAACATTGGCAAAAGAAGCCATAGAAGAAGTGAATAGATTCATCTACCTTGGAAGTATTGTTGGTAAGCAGGGTGGGACAGAAGCAGACATAAAAATAAGGACGGGCAAGGCAAGAGCAGTCTTCAATCAACTAAAAAAATGTTTGGGGATTCTGGAGATTTAACCCTTGGAAAAAAAATTCCAGATCTTCAACACGCTAGTAAAACCTGTTTTACTCTATGGAGCTGAGACATGGAGAATAACTGCTACAAAAAGAAGAAAATACAATCATTTATAAATGCATGCCTCAGAAAGATCCTGCGAACTTGCTGGCCTAAAAACATCAGAAATGATGTTCTATGGCAACGGACAAATCAACTGCCAGTTGAAGAAGAGATCCTCCAGAGAAAATGTATCCAGCATAACAAGACAGGCCCTCAACTGTAATCCACAAGGCAGGAGGAGGAGAGGCAGACCAAGAAAGACCTGGAGACGCGACCTGGAAGAAGACACCAAGAAGATCGGATACACCTGGGGACAGTTGGAGAGACTAGTCCAGGACAAAGACGTCTGGAAAGCTCTTGTCAGCGGCCTATGTCCCAGTATTGACGACAGGCAAACCTAACCTAACTAAATCCTATAAGTATGCTTGCATCGTTTATTTTTTGAGTGTTTTCAGACAATGATTGTTTTCTCTAGCCATAATAGCGTCAGTCTGGATTGATTGTTTTTACTTCCAATCATTACATACGCAATCATTGAATTTTATGTGTTTACATTGTATTTTTGAATTTATTCAAAGGCGTTCAACTAGCTTTTTTTCTTCACAGCATCATGCCAAGACAATACCAGCGCAAGAAAACACGAGGGGCATTTACGAAACATGCCACTGAAATGGCAGTTGCAGCCCTTTTTAAGGAAAGTCGCTCCGTAAAGCTGCATCCGACTGTGGGGTTAATTATAGGACCCTTCGACGCTATGTAAAACTGCACAAAACAGACGGCAACATTGAGAAATGCAACTTTTGGCTTCAGTACGCAAATGAAGCGCATCTGCTCAGATGAGCACGAACACCTTTTGCTGGACTACATCATTAAAGCCTCTTCAATCTACTATGGCCTGACTGCAGGAGAGGATTGGCTGAAGGCATTCAGGCAACGTCACAAGGACAAGCTATCTCTGAGAAGTCCGGAGGCCACATCACTCATTCAACAAAACAAATGTCAACTTGTTTAACAATCTGATGGACGAATAAGGGGAATTTGAAGTTGAAAAACTTAAATGAAGTTAAAATGTGAAAAACAAATTCATAAACTTCGAAACTAACGAAGTATGGTCTGTGAATAAGACAGACATCATTACTTTGCTGACAAAGTCTGACATTTCTGGGACAAAACGCACCAAGACTTACCATGACAATTGAAGACATCGTGAAATATGCATTCTATATATTCTTTAAATGTTAACCGAAAGACAGTTTTACATTTCATTTTGGCCACTGTTTTACTTATGGCACTGTGTTATATCTTCCCGTGTCCACAATAAAAAAAATCACTTACTGTTTCAATTAAATTTTATGTAAAGTTTGTAATAATTATATTCAACAGCAAAGAAATGTATTTTCCGATCAATTAGATTCAAATATATAACATTTGAAAGTTCGTGACTTTTTACCCCAATTATCAGACATTTCGACCCCGCACTGGGTAAAATGTTACAATTCTAAATCACCATTTTGCAAGTCTGTCATGGGCATACTGCGAACAGTTATTTCAAACGGCTTTGCATACAGTTATCTGAAATGTGGAACTAGTATCTGGTGCATTGGCATTGTTAAAGGTTAACAATTTACATCCCCAGGTCCTAAAAACTGAAATTTGTGACTTTTTACCCCCTACTTCCATTCTTATTTCACAAATGTAAAATATTTATTTTTTAAAAAAATATGCTTTCTTGTAAGAAACATATGGAACAATTTTCAAGTCTATTTAGAGGAGCATTAATTGGATGACGCGGATATATTAAGTCTAATTTAATGCTTACTTTAAATTTAATATTGTATATCATACATGTGTTGCTGGTTCATTGGACGTACTCTAACTCTATTTAATTTAGTGATAGTTCTGTATACCTTATCCCTAAGTTATAGCTGAACCTCAATAGAAGTACAATATCTTATCTTTCTGATTTGTAGGATGCGAATATTTTTCATATTATTTTCAAATTTAGAAGTGATTGTGTTAAAAACAAAGATTGAACATTATGTCAGGAGCTTTCTGACATCTTTGTATGCAAGTTATCTTCCGTTAGCCCCATTGGTACACATTACTTGTTAAAGTTCAACACTAGATCTAGATTTAAATACAGTATGACATAATCAACAGTGGTAATTTCTTGCCAAGAATTATAAAACTAAATTATGAGCTTACCTTGTGCTGATATGGACCAGACACCCAGGAATGCTAATGCTACCGTAATCAGAGCCATGTTTGCTTGTTCCCTATCTCTTCATGTTTATAAAGGACTTATGTTTTGTTATTTCCGTTTTTTAAATCTTGAATTCAAAGACCCAATGTAAAGTTCTTTTAAATGCGCACCAATTTTATGGATAACACGAAAATGCACGTCTTTATTTAAATGCAACCAATCAGTACCCGTTACACGTGAATTGTAGGATTATATTTTTTTTAAAAATGTTATACGTGTTTGAGAAAAATATTATTTAAAATAGTTATTGGTCAAAAGACAGTGTGCTTTATTACACTTCAACACTATTTTTGGGAAAAAAAACAAATAGCTAAATAGATAAAAACCAAACACATTTAAAATTAGATAGGCTTCCAATAACTATAAGAGAAATTAAAACCAAATTATGAAAATTGTTAGTCCACACAACAACATATGTATTTCCTATACTGATTAAGTGCCTTAGATATTTCCATTAAAAACCCGTCTATTCAATGGTATTAAAAAAAAAATAATTTCTATTATTCTTGTCCGATAAAATTTTCCTCGACTTAATCTGTTTATTCATTTCATATCTAATTTAAGACGCCTGGCGTCACACATGTACATATATATCGTGAAAATATACTTATATATTTGCACACGGTCATGCCACAGTTAGTGCAATTTTCAAACATTCCTCTGTGACTTATTCATTAGCTTATTTTAAGTTTAGTTTTATCAGGTAAAATCTTCAATAAAATCTAGCAAAAATAAAACAAAACCAAAACATTTTTAATGTCGTTGAGTGAAGGTGAGCAGAAGAAGTGTATTTCTTTTAATTAGAGGTGTTCATCAAAGAAAAAAAAATGTTAATTGGCACATTTATCCAATCGTCAAATAATAACTTGCTTTTGCAGTTTTCCAATTTGGTGTCAACCTAATCAATTTCGCCGGACTGTGTGTTACGACCTGATCAGTATTAATTGTTTACTGTTGAAAGTTGCAATAGGTGTCCCCCCTCCCCGTCTCGTCAGTGTTATAATCAGTGGCGTAGCAAGGATCTTCTCAAGGGGGGGGGGGCTCCAATTTTTACCCGGGGACAAACTTTAGATTTGCACCCCCCCCCAAACTTTCAATTTGCACCCCCCCCCCCCTCAAACTTTCGATTTGCACCCCCCCCCCCCCCCTCAAACTTTCGATTTGCACCCCCCCTCATACTTTTTATATATATACCGAGGAGTCTATGGGAGGGGGGTTATACGCCACTGGTTATAATGTCTAATATCGTCAATCGCTCCCCCCCCTCGCACTGGTTATTTATTGAACATCACACCAAACATTTTTTATTTCTATGTAATTGTGCTAAGTTTTCAGTTGGCGCCATAGTTTTAACCTATGCACCGGTAGTAGCAAAATTAAGTTTATCTGTAGTCGTTTATTGGATGTAACATTGCTTTTATCTAAATCTAGCAAATTTAGATCATTGTGTAATTCGTCCTTTGTGGAAAAGGTGAATTTATGTTTAAAATATTATTTTAACTATAAAACATGAAGCACAATTATTATATCGACACGATACATCGACTACTGCTTTTGTCTATGATAAGTCGAAGTACCAAAACAGCAAGACCTCAGCAAAGGGTAGCATCACAAGTAATTATTGTATACTCTACTTGGTTTTTTACTATAGCTTGTTATGAAACTGTATATGTAAGTAAAGCAAAATGTAATGACCCTACATGTAAAGTAATCATTACATAATTCTAAGATTTAGAAAAATAAACAAGATATATGTAGAAAAAAGCCGAACTATGCAGATACAAGTAGGATGCATTATAATAATCAGTCACTAGTAAACCCAATTTAAAAAAAAATATTGTATATTTTATATAATTAAATTGATAGAGGCATTTTTACGAAAATAAGTTAATACGTTTAATATGTTTTTATGTTTTCAGTACAATGTAAAAATAAGAATTTTAACAAGACACGCCGTAACCTAGCTAAAAGAAAACAAACCTGTAACATCCTGACAACCGGTTGATAATGTTTCTTTTTGCGTGACGAACTCGCTATCGCAGCAAAACTCGGCTTGGTCTTCAATGAAGATATTCGTAATACTCTCATTCCTCACCGAAATTACATCCATTCATGGTTACAATTGAGCCATTTCTTTTTCAATAATAGCCGTGGACATCGTTTAAACAACAAGCTGAGTCGAAAATGTTTGAATGTTTTCTTTGATTTAACCTCAATCAAAATGTGTTTGTTGATCTAATATATTATATCTAATCAACATCCTACTACTTAAAGATATATTTTTGTCTGTCACCTTGTCCTTTATGCATTAAAACAAAAATGGTCCGATCGCCAAGAAACACTGGAAAGTCGTTTAGAATAATTCAGACAAACCTCTACTGATCGTGAAATTTCATACCACAGTCCCACATGATGAGCAGTGCCCCCTCCCTCGAAGAGAAGCCAGAAAGAAACTCAGACTCCTTTCAAGATTTCTGCCATAAAATTATTGGGTCAAGTTGACGCACGGCTTTGGGCAAGTTGACCCACGGCTCACGGCTTGGGGCAAGTTGACTCACAGCTTGGGGCAAGTTGACTCACGGCTCACGGCTTGGGGCAAGTTGACGCACGGCTTGGGGCAAGTTGACTCACGGCTCATGGCTTGGGTCAAGTTGACACACGGCTTGGGTCAAGTTGACGCACGGCTTGGGGCCAGTTGACGCTCGGCTTGGGGCAAGTTGACACACGGCTTGGGGCCAGTTGACGCACGGCTTGGGGCAAGTTGACACACGGCTCACGGCTTGGGGCAAGTTGACTCACGGCTCACGGCTTGGGGCAAGTTGACACACGGCTTGGGTCAAGTTGACACACGGCTCACGGCTTGGGGCAAATTGACACACGGCTTGGGTCAAGTTGACACACGTCTTGGGTCAAGTTGATACACGGCTTGGGTCAAGTTGATACACGGCTTGGGTCAAGTTGATACACGGCTTGGGTCAAGTTGACACACGGCTTGCGGCAAGTTGAGACACGGCTTGCGGCAAGTTGACAAACGGCTTGCGGCAAGTTGACACACGGCTTGGGGCAAGTTGATATACGGCTTGAGACAAAAAGCTACATTGTCACCACAGTTCAATGACGTCATCTAGTTTCCTTTAGACTGCAATAAATTAAATGTGACCTCATTGGGTAGAATAGAAAAGTAGCTGCTAACATCCAACTTCATTCACCAGTGTCGGGTCACTTTAGGTGTATTATCTTACCCAGGGGAAATCTAGGTGTGATATGTATGTTGCTCTACACAATAGAGTCCTTGCATATGACGTCACAGATCCTTCACTATGTAAACATCCGCCATCACAGTGTACAGCTGTACAAAATAGTATGTTGTCACTATTAAAAGTTACTTCCCATTTAAAAATTTAAAACGAACAAGAAACGTAATCCATGATTTGTTATTACAACATTTTAAACTGTATTTTTTTATTGATTGGTGAAATGCGGAAGGTTCTTTTCTATATTACTTAACAAGATTGTGCACATCTTTTTTAGTCTGTGGTATTTCATATTTCATGTTATTTTCAGTTATCATTATTCAGCTTTTTAATAAAAATATAATCTTTAAATACTGTAGTTTTTATTTTGTAGACTAGCAAAACTTCAGCATAATCAATGATAACATGGCTATTGCACATCTTGTGTTTTTTTTCGAAAACAAATAACAATATATAAATAAATAATACAGACAGCATATACCATCACAGAAAATTAACTTTTCTGCCAATAACAAAAGAAGATAAATAAGCTACCCCATTCAACAACGACCAACATTAATAGTTCTTCTCGGAACTGTTGTCCATTCTTCTTCGATGCTTGGGGCTATGGCTGTGGCTGGTTCTTGGGCTAGCTCGATTTCTGTGGTGCCGTTTGACACATATTCACTGTCGTCTATAAGCTGATAATTGTCTAAATAGCTACCATCGTTATCTTTCGATACATTGTCTCTTTCCTTTACACACGAGCTTCGGCAGGCGGCCGGTCCGTGTTTGGTCGTTCCGCACATAGAGCATATAGATCTCCTACCGTTAAGTTTTAGTAAGCGGGAGTAAATTTCGCCACCGATTTCAAGGTCGCTGTAGGGTGGTAAGTCCTTTAATGGAGCTTTTGGGCAGAAACCGACCGCCCACGTATATCTCTTTCCGATATTAAGGGTTCTTATTTAGAACATTCCTACTCTCATTTTTTTTTTCTATGGTCGTCTTTTAAACATACATTACCACTGTTTGACTGGCTTGATGGTACTCTATATTACGGGCAATGAGAGAACTTGCCTTTTAGAAACACACAAAAAAATGAAGGAGTTCTGTAATATAGATCCCTTATGATCCATGATGATTTTGGCCTATTTCTTACCATCGTTAATTATTTGCATTTTATAATAGGTCAGTTTGTAATCAATAAAAAATGGTTCAATAATACAACGGCTACTCTCGTTACCAAACTTAAGCGTAACTTAATTCTAGCCGTCAGACAGCGGTTTACAAATACAATGTCTTCGCTTCTCTCACTAAAAACACTGAAATATAATGTCTATATACGGCTACCATGCACACTTTTATGATAACACTTATACTCAATGTATGGGATATTCTAAATACTAATCATAAGAGCCTAACAGTAAAATAATATCTATACTGTACGGTATCGCGTAGATTTCACAGATAAGTCCCCTATAATTTCCTTTCAGTATTGGAAGCTAGGATGGTGCGTAGAATTTTACGATATTAAAATACTCATGTTTATTAGTTTATATGCATAGGTATAATTTTCATATATTTTTTGAAAACGTTGCCATAACACTTGAACTAAATCATTAAGGATAACAACACAACCCTATCAATAGCAATTCTACCAATATAACTTGTATTGTCGATTAGCTAAATACTTTATATTATTCCTTAACGAGAATAAATGCAATCACATACTCTGTATCGATTAAAGAATTATTGCTACGGTTTAGTTGTTAGATTTTAATACACTTCGCAAAAA